GAGAGGAATGGACCTGTGGCTGCTGTTACAACATCATCCGCATACGCCACAACTTTGACTCCCCCTCTATTGAGTTCTAGCAATATACCGTTCAGGGCTATCACCCATAGCAGTGGTGAGAGCACTCCGCCCTGTGGAGTGCCCCTGTTCACATGATGTATAATAGAGCTAGCCCCATTTGTTGCCTGAATGATTCTATTGACTAGCATCGATCGTATTCATCTACAAACACTGTCGTCAACACCAATATCTATCAAAGAGTCTATGATGGTGTCAACCTCAATGTTATTAAATGCGCCCTCGATGTCAAGAGTCAATTGTTTATTGGCATAACAAAAAAAAATGTATTACAACAATTTTTACACGATATACCTACGAAATATTTCATTGAGTTAAAAATCAATACGGAAGAGCTATTAAAAGCTAATACACCAAATACAACACAACTGTGCACAAATATAAATGGTTGCAAAAAAGTTCAAAGAATTCTTATTTGCAGCATTTTGTATTTTATGTTGACTTATGTTGTGTATTTGGCGCGTTTTGCAATCATTTCATTAAAGAAATTTAGACATTTTGAAAACTAAAATGAACGAGAATGAACTAAACGAACTAGTTCACTTAAGCGATTTGAACTAGGTTGATCGATCAGCGAAATGAACTAAAAGTCCCAACTCTAGTCTGTAAGTGGCATTGGATAACTATTCTTTGCCGTAACTTTGTTTAATTCCCCGTAGTCGACGCACAAACTAAGTTCACCCGTTTTCATTTTAACTAACAATATGGGTGACACAAACTCTGACTCACTAGGGCGTATGTAACCTTTTTCTAAGTATTCATCGATTACTTTCTGCAACTCTAACTTTTCTTTGTACGAAAGTCTTCTTGGAGCACATTCAAGGTAGTCGGCAAACTCTTCGTCGCTAAGGTTCAAGTCGCTGCTCAATGTGCACTTATCGTTGTTATAGCTGATGAAGCTTTTTTCAGGCCCCCATGCCCGTTTTTCGAATTTACGCCGACGTTCGAGTTTTCGTTCGTTGGACGTGAACACGGTTTTCATCTCACGTAGCAGCTCGTCTGCGCTTTTGTGAAACGTCGACTTTGCGTTGTACCATACTAAAGCGGCGCCCTTCAAGTTCAAGTGTACAGCTACACACAGCATGGCGTTGTTTGCTTTGAAAATTTCGCGATAATGCATCACTTGGCTATACCACGCACCAAAACCATCGCCACCAACGTAGGTTAGTATAACTTCTTTCAGCGTCTCAAAAACGAACCTGTCATCTACTTTGGTCTTGCTCGCCATTGCCTGGTTCTGCTCCCACTGTGCCTTCTGAAGTTTAAGCAACTGTATCTCCTTTTCGAGCAGTTAAATTTTTGGGGCCGCTACTTCCGCGTCGTCGTTGTCACGAATCGCGGTTAACTCGCCTGCTGTACGGTTATATTACGTCCGAATTGACGAGTTAAACTTGTTAAATGGGCTTGAACCAGTTAAATGAACAGAACGTGTTTATAAACAAGTTAAATCGCATGCAATTGTTGTTGGAAATTTGCACCAGTTAAATCATTTAACTCGTTTGAAAACCAGTTCAGCGCAGAGTTGTATCAGAAAGCTTTCTGCTTCAGCCAATCAGAAAGAGCCAAAAGCTTTCATTTGACACGCCAACGTTCAAAAAATTTATATTCGAAAAAATATTAAAAATTAAAAACTATCAAGAAATATTAAAATTGTATGCATGTCTGCCCGCCAAAAAAGAAATCAAGGCGGTAATTAGTTATTTCCCATCAGGTCTCATCGTACGCAGAGATAAATAGTGCATATGAACTTAATATTTTAAAGGCTCTAAGTAATCCGTATGCGTTAATATCATGAAGCAGACATTCGCACAAAGCAAATTGAAACACAAAAACATAATTTTGAATATTTTTTTCTTTTTTAATTTGAAATGAAACAACCGTCAAAGTTAACTCCAAATGTTCAATGTGGACGATTGTGTTTTACAAAAAGCTCTTTTTCATTTAACCAGTTAAATGGGGCCAATTTGAACGTAATATTACTTGTGCCGCTATTTTCTTCGGCGTTTCTAACCGGACGACTTCCGAAGGCACCGTTACGCACATACGCTACGCCACTCTGTACATATACCGCGTCGTCGTCATTGATCACCATTGCATTACCGCACCGTTGTACACTTTTGCTCCTCAAGACTGCCGTTGTTCTCACCGTCGTCGTTGTTCCCGTTAATATCGTCATCACCGTTGTCCTCTATGTTGCTCTCGCCGTTATCTTTAACATCGCCTTCGCTTAGAATTCCTTGTTCGGTAGACTTTGCATCATGCCGTTGTTCACCCGCTTTGTCGATGCCTGGGCATAATCCTCGAGCTTCGGCGGACAGCTCGCTAGGCCAGCCTTTGCACCGCTCGCGTTGATGCTCATGGAACTGCACCAATTCTTTAACTGCAATAACGAATCTCTTTCTGCGATCACAGCTTCGCGATTCATCGTAAGATATTAGCTTAAATTTTGCGCGC